TCGAGTTGATCAACTGTGTAGATTGATACGATCGATTTGATCAACTGTGTTTCCTACGTTTTCTCAGTTTATGAACGACAGTGGCTACTGTGAATACTCTAATTACATTAAACCAGACGTTACCAAACATGTGCGGATACACTCGTAAATAGTATACCATTCACGTATAGTATAAAAATGCACCATCCAACCCCCATATGCTTACCTCCTGCAGTGCTTTGGTCAAACACGGCTCGTCATTGATTTTACTTTGGAACACCATACACGACAGCAGGGCCACAATTTGCTCGGCCGTCAGGTCGGTGAGAACATTGTTGAAGATCAGTTCGGTCACTAAAACCTGGTTTATCAACACGGAGTTGGGTTTAGTACTCACATACAAACCTGGTTTAAGAACACGAAATTGGGGGTAGTACTTACTTACAAAACCTGGTTTATGAACACGGAGTTGGGGTTAGTACACATACAAAACCTGGTTTATCAACACGGAGTTGAGGTTAGTATTTACACACTCCGAATTGAGTTTGTTTTATGCGCGAGTACAACGTGGACGCCAAGCGTCGTAGCCCAGTGATACGTTCTTTCGCCTATTGGAATTTCGGCATGCACGTGTAGGTATGAGACTGGCCGTGTGTGATCCATAGCAGTATGGTATATAAATGAATACGTACGTGGTAGTATGATATATATGTGAATACATACGTGGCAGTTTGGCATACATATGAATACGTACGTGGTAGTATAATATATATGTGAATACGTACGTGGTAGTATGATACATATGTAAATACATACGTGGTAGTATGATATATATGTGAATACGTACGTGGTAGTACGCCATGTCTGTGAATACGTACATAGCAGTACGCCATGTCTGTGAACACTTCCATGGTAGTATGACACGTCTGTGATTAATAAGTACGGATAGAAGTGTAAGAGCAGGACACTCACCTCATCGCAGTTGTTGATTTCACATGCCACACGTCCCTTGAGTTGTACTATCCGGTCGTGGTCGACGTACATCAACCTCTGCAACACGCGGATGCGTTGCTCATACTCGGGCAGCAGGCTCAGATTCTGTTGCGACAGGTTGTACTTGAGCTTTTGCACCTAAAAGTGACAAGCGGAAGGAAGGACGTGTGTGAGCTACAATGGATGTGTATGAGTTAATTTGGACGTGTGTGAGTTACTTTGGATACCATAACGGTTGTAGTAGGATACGATTTATATCGAGGCAAAGCTAACAATCAAGTCCGCAGCAGTAGCGGCTTATCCAAGGGTAGACCAAGAGCATCAAAACCCTACTCACCAAACCCTACTATCGAAACCCTAGTCCTAAAAGGACTGGATAAGAACCAAGCCTTAAGCAAATACAATCGATCTATTTGGGAGTAGGAGAGCCTTGAAGCGCATACTCATTAGTAGATAGCTATATATATATATATACATATATATATATATGTATCTATATACCACTCCACAGACACATTCAAACGTATAACAGGTGAACGTAAAGACACACATACACAAACTTACAACAAATAAAGGCACACATACACAAACTTGCAACAAATGAATACACCCCTACACATACCTAAGTCGCGTAGTAGAAGGTGCTCCGTGACATACAGTCGTATACAGTACATATTACTTCACACAGCTACACTACCCGTCTTGTTGTCCAAGATGTCTATATACATGTGTACCTCTCTACGCCAACACACACACTACCTTTTCTCACTGTGTCACTTGCGCCTGCAGATCCACACAGCCAGGCCAGACAAACGCCATGTGTATCGAATGGAATGGTACACGACGCACACGTGTACACACACCTTATCATGGAGAGACTTCCTAACATAGGTATCGCCATAGTGCGCGTTTAAATCTGGACACCCGAGACACTCATACGTCCGCAAACGGTCCTTAATGGTTTTGTACTGACTCCACTTTTCGGCAAAATCCAGATCCAGAATTTTGAGGTCTTTTTTTGGATCGATAGTGGTGACTTCATCTCTGCAAGATAGTACCGAACCGCCTTTATGAGTGCACTGAATACATTTCGCACGCCCTGAAGACTTGACCTATATATATATATATAGATATATATATATAATAAATAAATATATATATTATGATCAGGAAGCCGTACATGGCTACGCACGAGACGGTTCAAAGAAAAGTGACATGTTAAACCACACTACGCATACTCCTTAGCACATATCTGTTGCACTGTTATTTACTTTTGATTCATTTTCTCTGCGATGACCATCAGTTGTTGTGTCAATTCGTCTGCCTCGCCCTCTTCGGGTCGTTTCTTTCCTCCTACATGCACACACAATTATAAGTAAATTTGGTGATATAATACAATATGTGATGTAATATAATATGATATGATATAATATAATATGGTACATGATATGACATGATATGATATGATATGATATGATATGATATGACATGATATGATATGATATGATACGATACAATATAACATAATGTTATGATATGATATAATTATGAATACGATTATAACTATGACATGATGTGATGTGATGTGATGTGATATGATATGGTATGGTATGATGTGATCGTGATTATGATTACGATATAACATTATATAATATGATATATGATATTATGATACGTTATGTTCAACGTTTTCACCTCTCGGGCACTCTGTGCTGGATCAAGTGGTGTTTTGTGTAAGTGCTGCAAGTGTAACAAGTCACGAACGGGTGTTGAAATAAACGTTAAACTGCGTTAGCGCAGCTGTTACTTTCTTAGACTGCACTGGACTTGTTACGCATGTGTCCACTTAAGCTCTGGGAGACTGACAACCACACAGTCAACAGACAAAACAAACACTTAGGATTATAAACTCCCAATACGTTGAGTTTTGTGTGGTAGGGATGTTCTATAGCTACCTTTATGTTCTACAGAGACTGCCGTAACGGTCGAGCTATAAGATGAGACAAGGCATACGATAGAAGACTGTCGCGTGTGTGGTATCTACATGTATGCTAGTACTGGTAGCTGCTGCAACCAACTGCAACGGTCGAGCTATACGATGAGACAAGGCATACGATAGATGACTGTCGCGTGTGTGGTATCTACATGTATTCTAATACTGGTAGTTACTTGCAACCAACTGCAACGGTCGAGCTATAAGATGAGACAAGGCATACGATAGAAGACTGTCGCGTTTGTGGTATCTACATGTATGCTAGTACTGGTAGTTACTTGCAACCAACTGCAACGGTCGAGCTATAAGATGAGACAAGGCATACGATAGAAGACTGTCGTGTGTGTGGTATCTACATGTATGATAGTACTGGTAGCCACGTGTATTCAACTACTGTGTTTGCATGAAAGGGTAGGCTGTTGGTATATCCGTACGATGTCATCCTGCACGACACCTATCCCCTGCCACCGACATACCATACCTACTCACAGAGTATTGGTCACTACATACAGCCAATTAACGTTTAAGTGCAACACAGCGTGTGAACAAAGGAATGATCAGTTCTTTCTCAATATCTCAGTAGCGAGTGCCCTACACATATGAGATCGAACGTTTTGACACACGCTTGACGATATACGTACCCCTCTCCTCGCATTCCCGTATCAAAACGTTTTCACATACATGCGTACCATCCCACACCTCCCCAACAATACCCGCACCGCCTCACACCACCGCCCGACACAAACGTATTCGCGTATCCCTCCGTCCCTACCTACCTGGCAGCGGTGGCTTCGGCTTGAGCATAGCTGCTGGGTCCTTCAGCGCCAGTCGCTGGTTAGTGATGTACAGCACATCGGTGGGTGCGATGTTGACTATCTCGTGCGACAGCTTGCCCTGCGGCACACTCAGTTCATGGACGGGCAGCGGCAGCAGCGCACCTTCGCCTGTGAGTGAGAGTGTGTGGTTGATTCGTGGATGAGTGTGGTTGGGTGGGGTGTTTGTGTGGCTACAGTTGTAGAGATGGGTCTATGAAGGATAATGAGTGCACCTTCACCTGTGAGTGAGTGTGTGTGGTTGATTCGTGAATGGGTGTGGTTGGGTGGGGTGTTTGTGTGGCTACAGTTGTAGAAATGGATCTATGAAGGATAATGAGTGCACCTTCGCCTGTGAGTGAGGTTGTGTAGTTGATTCGTGGATGGGTGTGGTTGGGTGGGGTGCTTGTGTGGCTACAGTTGTAGAGATGGGTCTATGACGGCCAATGAGTGCACCTAAGGGTTTGGCTCGATCTACTGCAGTTGTTTCATGGTGAGACAGACAACAACATCCAGTTACACACACACACACAAACCGCACAATGTGAAAGTACACATGTATATGCTACAAGTCAGCCTATAACTAATCGCACACACACTCGCACACTGACCAGGGAACGCTTTATCATCACATGGGTGATGGTAGATACTCTCATTGTCTTTAATAGGCTATGTAGATATCCACTATCTAAATCTTTAAACCCTAAAACTCTAAAACTCTGTAGCCATGTCTGTATCTGCCCGTACGGGCTCGTATCACACTTTCTCCCAACGGCACCGGTCACAGTGTCATTCAGTGCGACACACACGCAGGGCAATCCAAATAACACTGCATACATGGGCCCACACACGTTTATCTATGCATACATGGGTATACGTACAATAACTGTACCAAGTTAACACCAGTAGCATTACATGCATGGATACAAGAGCATACACATATACATGCACCACTCCTCCATCATATACTGCGAAACCCGAAAGGAATTCATAACAGTAGCAATAGAGATACATATACTGCAAAACCTGTAAGGAATCAATAGCAGTAGCCATAGAGATAGATACCTGCATTGCGTTGTACCATATTCTCACTACAGAGCACCAGTACAGTGAGTGTAACGGCAGGTACTTTTGGCGGGCTTTCACTGCGTAATAGCACAGCCACAGAGTTACGGTGGGCCATGTGGCAGATCACAAACAGCCGCCCAGGCGAAAGAACCTGACAGAACACGGCATAGAGATATGAATAGGATAGAGATATAAATAGAATAGAGCTATAAATACAATGACACAGCCACATAGTTACGGTGGGTCATGTGGTTGATCACAAACAGGCGCCCCGGCGATAGAACCTGACAGAACATGGTATGAAGATATGAATAGAATAGAGCTATAAATACAATGACACAGCCACATAGTTACGGTGGATCATGTGGTTGATCACAAACAGGCGCCCCGGCGATAGAACCTGACAGAACATGGTATGAAGATATGAATAGAATAGAAATATAAATAGAATAGAGCTATAAATACAATGGCACAGCCACAGAGTTACGGTGGGTCATGTGGTTGATCACAAACAGGCGCCCCGGCGATAGAACCTGACAACATGGCATGAAGATATGAATAGAATAGAGATATAAATAGAATAGAGCTATAAATAGAATAGAGCTATAACTAGAGTTATTAATATAATAGCCCAGCCACAGAGTTACGGTGAGCCATGTGGTTGATCACAAACAGACGCCTCGACGAAAGAAACTGACAGAATAAGGCATGTAGATGTGAATAGAATAGAGCTATAAATAGAATATAAATATAAATACATAATATAGAATTGAAAAGGGAATATGTGCTGTAGAACCTGCCATAAATACAACAGAGATATAAATAGACAACAAGCAATTGGAAACGGATATATATATATATATAGAATACACGTATAGCCTGAGAAGTACTGCACAACCCACCTAGCCATGCTCACCAAAACACACGCGATTTACAACCCACCACACAGGCACACACACACTCTCTCACTTGCACCGGTCTCAAGGCGGCGCGTACCTTAGACCCGGCACTAGTGCTGAATATAAATTTCATGAGGTCATAGTTGAGTGTTAGCAGATGGGCTGTGTCCTTGTAGTAGTCCTCCAGATCACTGCAGTGCACACACTCTACGGCTGTCATCTCCTTGAGTGTCTTCTCGTGGTCACGCACCTGAGGCGATGTGTGGTTGCGGCAGACGCGGGTGGAGTTGGTTACACTGTACAAATACATCCACCGACGGGAGTGTATATATGTACGGGAATACAAGCCAAGTGTGCACATACCTACACACAAAGTGCAAGCCAAGTGTATATATACCTACAATTAAACTACAAGCCAAGTGTACATATACCTACAAACAAACTACAACCCCAGTATAAATATATTTACACACAAAGTGTAAGCCACGTGTATATATACCTACAATTAAACTACAAGCGAAGTGTACATATACCTACAAACAAACTACAAGCCCAGTATTAATATACCTACACACAAAGCGTAAGCCAAGTGTACATATACCTACAAACAAACTACAAGCCAAGCGTACATATACCTACAAACAAAACTACAAGCTAAGCGTACACATACCTACAAACAAACTATAAGCCCAGTATTAATATACCTACACACAAAGTGTAAGCCAAGTGTATATATACCTACAAACGAACTACAAGCCAAGCGTACATATACCTACAAACAAAACCACAAGCTAAGCGTACATATACCTACAAAAAATAAATACAAGCCCAGTATAAATATACCTACACACAAAGTGTAAGCCAAGTGTATATATACCTACAAACAAACTACAAGCCAAGCGTACATATACCTACAAACAAACTACAAGCCCAGTGTAAATATACTTACACACACTTGTGAAGTGACGAATGACTCATACCTGTCTCTGTTGTGCGGGGGTCTCCTTCTGCTCGGTGTTCTCTGAGAAAGAACGTTTCATCATATCTTCTACCTGTGAGGAATGCGGACAAGAGCCAATGGTAAGCGAAAACGTTCGGTGCACACAGATATCCGGTATGTTGTTGGTAGGCGATGTATGCATGGAACAAGCAGAGGTTGGAAAAGTGTGTGCGTATACGTTTTTGGAGTTGGTAAACCACACCGCGCTCACAGTAGACTTAGCGGATCAAAGGCACTGTCTAGAGTTGAGAATGATAGGTACAGCTTTGACATAGAGCAGCAGCCATAGAATACTGAG